AAAAAAACCGTTCAGCTGTAGCACCCTTTCGGCGCCTAACTGCCATGCCACCCGAAGGAAGCACGAGGGCTGAGATACTGCCAGGTCGCCCACGCCTAGACAGTGGAAGTCGAGTGGCAGAGGTCGGGCTCGAACCACGGACCTTCCGGTCAGTAAATTCGCACTCTAACCACTTGGGCCATCTCGCCCCTCCATCAAAAAAGGAGCAGGCCGGAAAGGACTCGATATCTTCAGGGGGCTATTTATGAAGCTTGAGTATACACATCGCCAGACGCAGATGAAATGAGAAGCAAACGTGTAATCCAAGGGCACGACCAATCTTCTGTGAGACAGTGTCTTGATTGGGACGCAGTATCGGGGACTGGTCCAGCTTCGCGTAAAAACTTAGTAAAAACTACTGCATCACTAAGCTGCGTTTACATGGCGAGTGCAATCCGGTATTCTTAAAAGCATCAGATTTGGTTAATTATACCGCTATAACAAGTAACTCTTGGTGATAACTATGACCAGGGTGACGATTACAATAACAAAAAGAAACTGGCTCGGCTGAGGAGTACTGAATGGATAAACACAAAATGAATCAGTCAACGCAGAAACTTATTATACATTCACGAAATAAAATAGAAGCTACAACAGCTACCTGCATAGCCACCGTGAAGTCCTCTTCCTTTTGATGTAACTCAGAGGTCTTGATGCGTAACTGTTCCTCAAGCTCTTCCACTTTCTTATACAGTTCTGCAAGGTGTTTGTTAGCCTCCTGAATATGAGTTTTAGGTTGTCCACCACCAAACCAAGCCATATGGAAAAGAAAGCGACTGGAAGGTAAGGGAATATAGAAGATATAGGAACTCGTTCAGGAAACGTCGGTGTAGAGAGCATAAAGACTTGACGGGCAGGAAGGTTGGTGAGTGAATCCGTTTAAGCGGGGTGCATGCGGTAACACAGCTCGCCATAAAAAGGAAACCTACGGGTACTCTTTTACGTCGTTGTTGGTGAGACATGCGCACACTCCATAACGATGGCCACAGCCAGTCGAGCGGGGATACCAACCTCGGTCGTTCAAACACCAATTATGAATCTTAACCACAGATTTGTAGGGAATCAGAGATTCAGTACGATCAGTAATTACTGAGTATCCATGTGGAATATCGGACAGAAAATACCGAACTGGGGTTGGAACCGTGTTTTCGAAGCTTCCGGTAAGGAAGCTCTACAACCAATACCAAGTGATGAAGTTAGTTCCGGACTACCGGTTGGATGCTGCAGTCAAATATGAGGAACAAATGGGATCCTTACATCTTTATGTGCAAATGGACACTTGCAAACAATTACGACAACACAAGGGGTCTGTGTAGAGCCCGATGTGCTACTGCAGGTGTCTGTGGATTCTATGCATACCTGCAGGAGTAAGATCGGCAGACAAAATTCCACGGGGATGTTCAGAGCTGTTGCCCGGCCTAAATATAACTGCAATACAGTAACCATCAGCGCCATATGAGAGAACGGAGTACTGATGTCATCCATCGATTCCTCTGAGTTTCAATATAATACTGCACTTTCACACACAATCATATTCAGCATACTATTTCAACATACTATTTCAACGTACTATTTCGATTGTCACGGATAAACGGGCGATATAGGTGCAGTAGGGGCCTAAAATAATCAGTTGGGTAACCTCACCCATCAAAGCTCCGCGACTGATATATCATGAAAGCACTGGTGGCAACCCCTCCCTTCACAGAAAAAATCGTTCTGCTGTAGCACCCTTACGGTGCCGAACTGCCATGCCACCTGAAGGGAGCACGAGGGCTGAGACACTGCCAGGTTGCCCAAGCATAGACAGATGTGTCCATTGGTGTCTGGTGCAACCATCTTCTGGGAGTAGACACACGGTGCACCGTGTTACGGTAATATGCGTACCTGTTATTAGCTGCAAGACGTATCAGCGTCAAATCCAAATATTTTATTCACTTCATCTGTAATGTCTGTGGAGTCATGTGCAAACGGTGGTTACATCTGATTCCGAATTCTAAGAAAGAAATAAAACACAGCATCTTAACTCAGTCGATTGCGCCGAGTAGGTTGTACACCCTCACAAAACTGCTATATGGGCAGTTAAAGAACGATCTGCCAGACCGGGGAAGACCGAAGTTACAATATACGGAAAAACTTCAGGTGTTTCCTTAACACTAATTTTGACCGCGGGAAAATCCGACGATGGGGAAACACTTGACAAAAGGCCTTACATGCAAGTGTGGTGCATTTCGAAATGCACATTGCCTCGATATTTGTGCAAAGTTTATTCCTGAACAAATCGTAACCAGCGTACCAACTCAAGCAGTTGTGAAGATGCCCAACTGGTTGGCGAATCGGCCTGGACAAATTAGGGCCTCCGAAAGACCAGTGTTTGAAAATAGCACCAGTCCTGAATGGTAGGCGGGTAATTTCTTGTCCCTTATTGCACCTATGCCACCCGTTTAGAAAAATGGTTTGCCCTTAGCAGCCCCCGGGTTAGGGTGCATCTCACAAAGTACAACCAGAAAAATCGAAGGGGAGCAGTCAGCCCAAGAGCAGCAAAACCCCCTACCGTGAGTAACCGTATGGCAAAACAGTCTCAAGGTAAAGCCTTACCGTCTCGACCCAAAACTGCCACCTAGATGTGGTGGTCGGGCCTGAGTGCTACGATGATTCCGCGGGTTACAGTGGCTGGAACTCAGTTCCACAAGGTACAACCATACCAGAGAAACAAAGGGGAGCAGTCGAACCCAGATACGCAAGACCTCGTCCTACGAGTAATCATGCTACGAGGCGGTATGGGAGTAAAGTCTTAATGTCCTCTGCAACAGGAGTGTGAAGGCAGTAAGGTGTTCCCGCCAAGTTGATAAGCATGTCCATATACACGGAAGCAGCAATGCTGCCTTCTTCCGGGGAAGGAAGGGTTAGAAGCCACAAAGACCGATCGCCCAACAGTTGATCATGACCACCGGTGCATTATTCAATAAGATCAAAATACCTTTGAAACCAGAGTCCTATGCTGCTCAGAAGGCACCTGTTGCACGTAGCCGCATCCGGAGTGAGACGGTAATGCCTAACTCCATGTATCCTCGGGTTAAGCCCACACTCTGCAGCCTAGCAGATCAGACTACTGAGTCATCGGCAACGGGAAGGATCCCCAAAGAAAACTCTACTGCCAGCTGCCTGAAGAGTCAGACTCTTGAGTTGGAGGCTAGGAGGGACTTGGTGATTCAGTGGTTAGAGCGCGAATTTACTGACCGGAAGGTCAGTGGTTTGAACCCGAAATTTCCCCTGCTTATGCTTGGGCAACCCGACACTATCCAGGCCCTCGTGCCTCCCTCAAATGGCATTGCAGTTAGGCACCGAAAGGGTGCTACAGCTGAACGTTTTTCTTATTTTTAGATAGGGTCCCTGAACAAAACCACACAACCTCTCATTACCTTGTGGCTCAGGGTGGGGTACCCAACCGAACCCCCTTTCAAGGCCTGGGGAACCGGAAAGTATCATTTGTTGGCAGAGTTCTGTCCCCAGCCTTTTCTCACTACACAAGCAAGTGTTACTGGGTCATTTGACTGTCAGTTATCTGACCGATGGGCCTTATACACCCCGATATTTAATGACAATAAACAAAATAACTCCTTGCTAAATCCACGGGATCCTATCTACGTAGGACCTTTTACCATCCGTACTGTGTCAAATTGGAAAACATGCTTTCTACCTCTGAAACCTCATACTCCCTCAAAATTGATGTACACTGTCTCCGAGACAGGCAAACAAGGCCAAACCGTGGTCATGCATCTTACAACGCCAAGGACAAACTAAGCTCTTTCACTTTCCTCCCCCGTCTGTTTTACGGTAAGTCGTGGGATATATGGCGTGGAAGTTGCACTCAGCCCTAGATCTGAAGGCACTTTTCTGGAAAGGATCCCAGTGAATAGTTGTCATTGCGCCGCCCAGCTATCCAGCTTGGTCAACCTCAATGTCTCTCGACGAAAAAGCGGTGCCTGTTCGTAGTGTCATCTACTGCCCCAGAGGACTACAGTTCCGAAGCTGAGGACACTTTCTATCGGCAGTTATCCTGCATTATTTTTCAAGTAAGAAGAACTGATATCGCGGGCGATAATAATGCTAAAGTGAGCAGTGTGAAGTGCTTGAAATCACATTTGGGCGGTCGATTCGGAGTCGACGCTCGTCGCACAGACGGCGGAGAGCGACCTTCCTGTTGTTTGCAGATAATTTGTTGTTTCTGGCCAGCATAAACGTTCGCATCAAGTGACGTGATGGCCACCAAATGCAAATCAACCGTGGGCTAAAGTAGATCACGTGACGACCAGTCACTGGTGGAGAGCCACTATGAAGACAGCCATCCCTTGAGGCCATGGTGCGAGCAAGCCTAGTAGTTCGCCTAAATCCAGACCATTGCAAGTCAGCAAGTCAGTCAATTTATCTTCGGAGAACTACCATAACTCAGCCTTATCGATCCGAGCTACCTCAACTACTCTTTGAAGTAAACCGATTCTCCACTGGTAGTAAACATGTCAATGAAGCATGACGAACTGTAGAAGCAGCTATGCTAGCGGCGTTCAGTGCTGTCTTTTAGACTTCTTCCATACAAATGAACACTGGATATCGTCGAGATCGCTAGTCCTGATCGATGGATGTAAATCCACACCAGTATGTCACATAGCACAGCGCACGCAAACCACAAAACGCCAAATACTGTAAAGCCCAGAGAGCCCTGGTGTACAAGAGAAGCTCAGGGAGTCGCAAAAGCTCTTACCACCTGAAACAACCGTTCCCAACTAATGAGATCAAGTAGCCAGATTCGGGAAACGGTCGGTGAAACCAAAAGTAAAGAGGCGATTCATCAATTCAATCGCAATGAGGCCACTGAAAAGATGGATCGAGCACTTTGGAGAAAAGTATAGCTGGCCTCCTGAAACTAGTGTATGTGGATGAATGGAATGTCAGGAGAATGCCCGTCAGGAGAAATAAAGTATGGTGAAAAGTGGCAAGGCACCAGCACCGGATCCGGCGTCGGCATTCTGCAGCCCTTCCTCTTCACAGAAGACGGAGAACCCATGGTTAGCCATCCCAAATAACCTGGTGATATGTGGAGTGA